ACAATTGTACACGATGAAGATTTCAGAGCGAGCTATGCCGAGCACAAATGTATCTATTTGTTTGTATATGCCAGTAAGTTGTGTACGTGTACGAGGGTGCGTAGCGTCCGAGGGGTGCGTCCCGAACACGTGACGCCTGATTCATACACAGACTGCTACGGAATCAATTTGTAATCTTGACTCGAATTAAGGACAGGAGGAGAGGGATGAAGCAGCTCGGAGAGGGAGAGAGAGAGAGAGCGCGTGAGCGGTATGGATGGAGATACGTTTATTGGTAAGCGAGTCTGGCATTCGGTCCGAGAATGCGCTACGGTATACTGGAATCCGGACTGTCTCGTGTTGAGGGCATTATAGTCGGGTTGTAGGTTGTAGGTTATTAGGTGCGTCGGCTAATAGGCATCGATATAGCGTATTAATGGCAGGTAACCGGACGGTGATAATGGGTATCAAAGGACTGGGTATCGCAGAGCGATGCGGCGCGATGGGACACGAAGCCCGATGGCTTTTACTTGCCGCGTTTTATGGAAAAATATGGAATAATGCCATTAACCTGACGCAATCCGGATCCACGCGTCCCTAATGCGTGTTTGCGTTTTTCGGACGGAGTGCCGAGAACTTCCATCAGCCAGCACGGTTGAACGTAAATCCATGAAAAACGCGTAACATCGTCGGGTAAAATTTAAAGCTTACTGTCGACAAGTAAAGTGCCACGAGAGAGAAAGGTTGCAAATCTACTAACCATCCAGCAATCAGACTGCAATGCCGAACGTTCGCATGTGCCCTGTGCGGAGAAGAAGAATGTGCGAGCTCGTACACCGCGATTTTTCCTGACTCGCTGGCTTTGTGAAGAGACAGAGAGAGAGAGAGAGAGAGAAAGCGCGATAGGAATGCGTCGCATCCCGTAAGATCGTACATAACTCCCCTTTGTCGCGCCGTACCGAACTTAACGTACGAGTGCGCTCCTGACGAGAGAGGAGAACTAGCGAAAGAGAACCGGACGAAACAAAAGGACATGGCGGGGCGGCGGGCAACGGGCGGCGGGCGGACGGGGGCGAGCGCAGGGGCAGAAAATGATCGGGGGCAACGAAAACGGAAACAAAAGCGACGCGGGGCGATACGCAGTATGGCGACGCTTCCGGTTCGCTCACCGCACACAATGCACTCTCTCGTGTTAACTTCTGTGCCCCGCTCTCTTCTCGCCGCACGCCACCTTCCCCATCGTCCTTGTATCTCTCGCGCATAGTATCTCTCACCTACCCTCTCGGGGCGAAAGGTATCCATCCCCGCGAAAATTCCGCAACTCTGATACGCGACTCCAGCGTGATACACGAGCCGCTGTTAAGAGTCGAAAAGCCCAGCTTGCGCCTCTCGTTACCTTCGAGCAACAGTCACGAGCGATATCGCGTTAAGTATCCCGCAATTCTCATTAACACCCCCCATATATATCATCTCCCTATTCTTCGTAGCAACTGATAGGTCATCTCGTTATTTTATCTCGTGCAAAATTGACAAGTTCTCCGCCGACATTGATCGTATATATGAATCTTTCAGGAAGATTCAAGCTACGACATTATATAACATTTGACACGCGTCTCTATAGTCTTTGACACGGCAGGCACTAGACGGTATTAAAACGGACCGGGGAGCTTTTGCTGAGCACTGGCAAGGAAACGGAAGCCTAACGTGCAGAGAGATGTTTTAAGAAATTAGTCCTCATTGTTACGAATCGCAGAATGACGTCATCTTATGGCTTCGTTTGACTTTCTCGTCGAGAGTGGCGCTATTAATTACTTCGTATCGTCGCCCTTCCAGTCGACACCCTACTGCGCGATAAAATTACACTGTGTTAACGCTTTACCGTCTTTTCGCGACATTATCAAGTGTAAAAATTTCAAATGCGTACTCATCAAATATTGAATAAACTTGGAAATACGCAAAATATTAATATTAATACATTTCTATCCTGTTTAATTAAGTTTCATTTTAATTATCACATCTAGTAAAATTGAAGGTTATGACGATCCAAACTGAATCCAATATTATATAGAACAATACCAATGATAACACTCACATTTATCCAGACTTTTCAACAATCCTGTCACAGGATGAGGAAATGGCAACAAGTCCGTAAGCATCTGAAAATAAAAAAAAAGAATTACTTGGTACTGATATTTTAACACAGAAAGGCTGGAAGCCTTATGAAAGAGTTATTCGAGGAGCAAACTCAAAGAAAAACTGTGACACTAAATGTCTCGTCAATCATTTTACTTGTGAAAGAGCTAAAGTGCTTTCTAGCTAATATATAATTGCATTGTTACGCAATAATTATTTCGTAGACAGTATTGAATATAGCTTAGTTTCTTTTTCATCAAGGAAACTACAATGGCATTGTTTTGATCAAAGTAGCAATGGCAAGTTCAAAAGCAGGAAAAAAAGATAAACGATTTGGTTTTCCCAGAACAATCGTGTAAAGTGCGTAAAATAAACATTTTCACATACGTTCGCAAACGCAACGCGTATAAAACACGCTGTTCATTTATTATCTCTCGCAAAATATATCCATTTTAATGGACTTCAAATTAGCGCGCTTGCATTATATGCGTTGTCCTCAATGTACCGTGCGTTTTAAAGTGCCTTCATGTCCAAAGCTGATGTTTATTAGACACTCAAGCCAGAGTTTGACCGATACTGACAATGAGAGTGCATACTAGAGATCAAAATATTAGAACGTTAAGCATTAGTTTTCATGAAATGCTATTAAAAAAAACTTTCCATTGTTGTTAATAAATACAGATTTTGTTTTTAGCACAAAAGCTGCGATAAACTATTTTCTATGCACTAATCTTTATAACAGGTTAAAGGGTTTTTTTTAAAATACATTTGCATTCTTCTTATTTTCTGTTGCCTAATTTGTCAACTTCTTCTTCCTTTTCCCGTATTCATAACAAAATCAAAAAACCTTGAAATTACTTGTTTTAAAATCTAATGTACACATATCCGTCAGCATCGAAACTCGCATTCAAGAGATTCATAACAACTGATCAGAAATATAAGAAAACTATCGCTATACTTAAATCTTTACGATACAAAAAATTACTTCTTAGGATCCGAAAAGTATGATAATTGTTATCATAAAATCTCGTGGTATGTCTCTGTTCGAAGTAATTTTGTATTTAAGTTTGTTCAAAAAGAACTAAAATTAACCAAAAAAGATTAAAATTGTTTTATCGTTTTACGTGAAAATAGTTGTCAAAAGAACGACTGTAAGATCTCTCTGTACTAAATCTTCCGTAGCTACCCCTCAGTGTTCCGTCCAATGTTAACGACATTACCCTCATTACCGTGTTGTATGAACCCAATTATAACTCTTCCCTCATCTTCTTTTTACCATCACGAGAGAAACTTTAATCGATATAATTTTAGCAAACGTCTTGTCTCTTAATAATAACTATGTAATCGTAAACTTTTGCTCAAATTTATATAGAGAAAAGTCCTCTATATTAATCACAAATCTTTACTCACAACGATTACACGATCTAACCATGAATTTTCCACTAAACAGATTTCACTCCAAGGGCAATAAATTCACAATAAAACCAGATGATGTCTATTAATTTGACAAAAACCCTGCTATCTCATATTAGGAACTTATCTCACAATAAGGGGCTTTCCTCTATATTTGTGTATGCATAGATTTCTTTGATCGAGTAGTTACCGAAAGATAGAATGTTCATAATAGCTATTTCTTATTTTCTGAATTTTAAATGTTATTCTCTACTGTAATTCTTATTCTGCAATTCCAATCACGAATAAAAAATTTTATTTTATACTAATCAATCATATATCGATTTTTTTACTACGATTTGGAGTTTCATTAATTTATTCTTAACAAAAACATGTTGAGATATTAAACAACATCTCAACATATATAATTGTAAATTGTATCCGATATATTGTTTAATACATGATTTGATTTTCAAATAAAAAATTTTAATGCAAGTTTAAAAGATTGTTTATATATCTTTACTAAGTAATTAGATTACGGAATAAAATCTAATTATATACATATACATATATGTATATATACACATTATTTGTTAAAATAATTTTCGTAAAATAGTTTATCGTAATTTTATTGTGTATAGCTTTTTAAAATTACTTTATTATGTAGAAATAGATCTTTGTAAAAATTCAATGCTATTTAATATATGTGATAACATGTAATTAATTATAAAATGATCAGAATGCTAAATATTTATATTTCTTATTCGTAATGTACACATCTAATTTTATATGTAAACTAAATATGTACAAGTCAATGGTCAGTTTCCCTTTGTTCGATTTTTGACGAAATCAAAAAGAAACGTAATTTTTGACAAATAATGATAATATATTTAACTACCAAAAATATTACGTATAAGTACTTTCTTATATCTTTTTGAAATTAGAAATTGCATCATGTCTAGAAAATAGCGTCCATATTAGAAAAATGATAAATCGTAGTCGACTCGGAACGTCATTGGTTCACCACTCGAACAAGACGCATTAGCCTTGGAGGTCAAGAAACGTGTGCAGCTGCCGGACCAGATCACTCGTGCGTGGTGGGGTAGTTTGAACACGTGCGCGTGAGAATTTACGTCGTCACGTAAGCGTGGCGTAGGTGGCTCGGTTGGTGGAAAGGTAGTGACGAGGCCAGCGTGACGAGGAGAACAGAACGCGAAGGCAGAGAGGCCGAGAAGGGAAGACGGATGAAGCGGGATAGAGGGAGAGAGAGAGAGAGAGCGAGCGAGCGAGTGAGGAGCGAGAGAAAGAGAGAGATGGAGGGAGAAAGAGAGAGGTCGAGTGGGTACGTTAAGGAAGAGCGGAGGCGCCGAGCCACCCTTCGCGTGAGCCAGGCAGCAGGCAGGCAGCCCCTTTCGCAAAGCACCCCCTAAGCCTGGTTAGGGGCGAAGGCGGCGAGCCGCGGAGGCCACAACACGACCGCCGTCCTCATTGGTCGACGCGCTTGCTCTGGGTGGGGCTCCGGAAAAATTGGAGGGGAGAAAAATCCCCCCTAAATAGCTGCGGCTACGGCTGCGAAAAACTAGAATCCGCTCAGCCGGCATCGAGTGCGCGTCGGATTGCTACAACAGTTTACCAGTTCGTGGTACAAAGGTGCGATCGAAACAGAAATTCAAATCAAGGGAGTACACCGTACAGTTTCTTCGCCGAGAGAGATTGAGGTAAAAAGAAATGATACGTGTCTACTGTTCGATTGTGATGACAGTGAATATAACGAAAAGAACAGTGACCAATCGTGTTCGCCACAACAGTGTTTGCGCGTAGGAGTTTGAATTGATAGTTAAAGGATAGTTGAACTTTTCCCTGTTGGATTTCCCGCTGGAATTAAAAGAATGCATTTACGGGATAGTCCCTTGGGAATGGCGGAGACCCTTAGAGCAATTCAGGAGTCCCTCAGTAGATATCATGGCGAATTGGTGGCGACAGGAAGCCCCACCATCATGTGCACTTCATTACCAAGCCATTGGAGATCGAACAAGTCTCTTCCAGTGGCATTCAAGGTCATAGCTCTCGACGATGTCACGGATGGCACGCAAGTTACCATCAAAGCTGGCAACGACGAGAACTGTTGCGGCGAGCTGCGGAATTGCACGGCGCTCATGAAGAATCAAATCGCCAAGTTCAACGATCTTAGATTCGTCGGTCGTAGCGGAAGAGGTGAGTCAAGTATCTCTCTCCTTCTCTCCACTCGTATACGAGTTTACTCGAGTATAGTCCTCCAAAAATTTTCAGAAACGGACTTTCTTTTTCTTTCCAGGAAAATCATTCACCCTAACGATCCAGATCAACACGGTACCGTACCAAGTAGCCACGTACGCTAAAGCTATCAAGGTTACGGTAGACGGCCCACGTGAACCGAGATCAAAATCGAGTAAGTCGCAACGACAATTATCAGAGTAGCCTGCGACAGCTACTATCGTCGACGAGCGAGATCGAACGCTAAAGTATCTCTCGTGTCATCTCCGTAATAATGTACAATATTGCACAATTCGATTGCCAAAGTTTCCAAGACAAATGTTGACTCGTACCCTCCGCACGCGTTAACGTCGCCGAAAAATGCAGTAACGACACGGTCCGACGAGGAGGGGTGGGTATTGGAGCGACGGGTCCGAAAGTCGTCGGAAGCTCCGTGACCACCGCGGAATCCGCAAACGGGCGTCGGAGCCTCGCGGGCGTTTAATAATCCGGCGTATATCTGGTGGACCTCAAACCGCGAGGTGGTGGCGGTGCCGCTCAACGGTACCGAGCCCTCGACACCGAGCGTCGGCTCGCACGTGCACGAGCGAGCGCGCGCACATGCACGCCGCGCAAGAGCACATGCAGCATACACACGCGCACGCAACCGACGTACACAGACACAGCGAGATATCTGGCACCGTGTCAAGCCGCGAGAACGAGGTCTTCGTCGGCGGTGCGCTCTTTAGCTGCCGCGTTTATTTTCCCCGAAACGCCGCCGCGCCCCGCCGGTTGCTCGTCGCGGCCCCACTAAGTCAAACTGTTTATTGCTCGGCACCCGGGGAAACGGCTCGGGGGAGACGAGGGTAACCGACGCGGCGCGGCGGCGAAGGCTACGGGGAAAGATGGACGCCTGCGAAAGAAGCCGCGTTTATACGTTTGTTTATCGCACCGCATATGGCGGTAGCATGTGCCGCGCCACGAAAGCTCGCGCCACGTCGTAATAACGGATTTTATGCCACGCTCGTATAAACAGAGATACACTAGCTGCTCCTCCGGATCGCCCGGAGGATCCGAACGCCGTTAATCTTCGCTTTTATAGATCTTGGGTGGCCGAGTTCCTTTTCCCGGCCCCCCTTTCTCTATAATTCGTTAGTTGTATCGCCGACATTTTCTTCTTTCGACAGTCGAACGTCTCTCGTCGCGCTGCCTCGCCAAAAGTTTAAAAACCCACAGCCGCGATATAAACTGCGAGAGAATCTGGTGGATCGTTAAAACTTTAAACGTCAGTCGAGCGCGTAGACCGAAAGAAACGATGAAATCTATTTTCATCGCTCGAAGCTGGTCGTTAGCATATGTATACGTAATCAAGCATCTCCGATTTATTTTATAGATTATCAGTATAGCGCCGGTTTTCATGGACTCGGTGGCTTTCTCAGTCCCTGGCTGGACGCCACGTACTTTGCACCATCCTGGCATTTGCCGCATCCTGCTTTAGTTAAAGGTAAATGATCCCAATCATTCCGATCACCGCGCATGTCGTCGGACGAGAAAGGGAAAATAGATTGAGCGGGGGAAAAAAAATACTTGACACCTTTTTTATGTATCGTGGACGTGAAAAAAAAAGTCTTAAAAGAGAGTCCGCGTTATCGATTTCGTCGAGTTCGCGACGCCTGCCGATGATTCATACTCCGTGAGCTGGACCGAGGGGTGAGTCTGAGTCTCTCTTTTCCCACAGCGGACCCCTCTACAGTCCCCCTCGTCCCACGTACATCCCTTTCGTCGTTGAAACAACAATGCGACTTACTACCGCTCTCGCCCCCGCCAACGGGCGGCCGAGATTAACCGAGTCTTTCTTTTTCAGGAGCGATACCGTCACCCCCCGATCTGTTCAATCCGGCCTTCTCGCCAATTTTAACGTATCCGCTGGAATACGTAAATAATTATTCCGACTACGCGGCGTTGGCGACAAGCAACGCGTCGACGGCGAACACGATGGCGTCGGTTCTGCCGGTCGCGCCGAGTCCGTCCAGAACGCCGCCCAGCCCTAGCGAGTCGGGCAGCGAGTCCGCGACCGAAGAGGTTCGAAGTGCCTTCGTGCCTCTTCGACACAACACCTTGCCACCGAGCACCTCGTCGTCGTCGTCATCGCCGGACAGGAATCCCAAGAGGCCAACCGAGGGCACGAGGAACGAGCTCAAGGCGCCCACCGCGCTCATCTCCCAGAAACTGTCGCCCTCGCAGAGGAGTCCGTCGCCGACCAAACTCTCGCCGCCGTCTGCCAAAGTCTGGAGGCCGTATTCAAAATCGTAGATTCGAGAACGACGTCCCGAACGGACACCCCTCTGGGAAGAAGGCTAGTGAAAATGTATCGTCGATGGTAGACGAAACAACTGCAAGTTATAACTGCATTTACGAATTTCACAACTTTTATGAACAAATTGAAATGATCAAACGTGCGATAAATGTTTACGAGTTTAATACTTTCACAAAATTGGTGATCAACTTTTTGAATAATTCACCTTTCGAATACTCCGAGACGCACCGAAGACGCTTCGTCTACCACTGCGGACACACGTTGCAAGTTTCATGAATTCATGATGAGTTTTATCAATTTTGTTCAACGAAAATTATAAAATTCCCGATGAATTTATAAATTTGAACAAGTGTATATATGAAAACGAATTGTACATATGCCGTGTATTGTATATATGCCGTGTATATAGGTCGTGGACAATAAAGTAGTTACAGAGATAAAGATTTATTTACATTCTGTGCGTTCATGGAAGTACACATGTAAGTGATTGAGTGAGAGAGTGAGAGAGAGAGAGAGAGACCAAAAACAGAGATATTGAGATATTATTTATAAGCCAGAGTTTTAATGTAAATAGATGGTAGAAGCGCAACGAGATGAATAAAATCCACCTCGACGTAAGAAAATTTAAACAATTTGTCGTCTTTAATCACATCCTTTTCAACACCTTTAAAGTTGAATTTAACGATCGATCACTATATCCTAACTTGTGTCCGAAGAATGATCGATCTCGTCGCGCGCGCGCGCGAGAGATCTATTCTGAAAAGTGTCAAGGAAGTGTCGTCGAACGGTCCAGGCGTCGCGAATAGAAAGGAAGAATATGAAAGAGAGCGGAACGCGCGCTCCGTGCTGCTGCAAGGGGAATCCATATTTTTTTGTCGCGATTTAAATCTGAATGGTCGTACCGTCGCGCAATCGTCCCGTCTCTTTCGTGTGTGCGTAAGGGATCCCATACGGCGAACACAAGGGTGGAGAATGGTTTATATCGAGGGGAGTGCGTGAGATCTGTATTAGTACCTATAGGTTCGGGGACATCAGCGGTTCTCAGGTCACTCGAATAAATCTCGCGCGGGCCAGTGGTTCTTTCCTTAGGATTGGCGGGACGGAGATGAATGCCATCTTTTCGCGGAGCGGTGCGACATAGCGACGCAATATAATAAAAATCAACCACGAAAGAGAGAGACCTGCCGCAAGATTATTCTAAGGATCCTCACCGATTCTCTCCCCCTCGTTGACGATTTTGAATTTCACTCCGCATAAAAACACGAACGTGACGCAACCGCGGTTCGATAACGTTCGGTTCATTCGACGAGATGTTGCATGACGCGAAATGTCCGTCGGGACTGTGCTGCATCACGCTGAAACACGACCTGGGGTAAGGGATAGTTTTTTTTCTGAATTGTTCCGGTCGTGTTTGTCAACTGGTGCACAGAGTACGAGGGCAGTTAATCTCGGTGACGTCGAATAACTCAATTCTCGCATTCCGGTTGCAGGTGCGACGTGTACGCGCGCCTCCGATATATACCTTTGGATCGAAAACGCTGCAGCGAAAATTCGATACGCGGCATGTAACGTGCCCGGCGCGATGTAAAATCTTGATCAGATCGCCTTGATTAAAAATGGCGATCGAACCTGCGCTGAAATTTCGAAAGTGATCGATCGCGTAGCTCGGCGATCTCGCAGCTTTGCGCCACGCTTAATGAGATTAATCCCCCCCGGCGAGAAAATGAGAACCGCGTTGACACCCCGTAACCGTGGGGCTGTTCGTTGACGAGTAGACAACGGAACCAAGCAACCATGAAGGGTCACCACATCAACCGAGAGGCGAGCCGATCCAAGCCAATCCGGCGCGCGCGCGCGCGCGCGCGAGCCAGCCGGCGCTAACTAATGTTTGCTCAAAGAATCGTCATGTATAATTGAGTCAGCCGCGGCATGGGATGGAAAAAATCAACGGGCGGACGTGCGGATCCCCGAGCTGAATAATCGACTTTCAGTGTATACAGACTTCCACTTGCGATTTCGAAACAAACCGCTCTTATTAGGCGAGCCGTTTGCTATTTTACGTGCTGCAACGTCGAGCTATCGCGTTTCACCGAGCCATCTCACAATCGGTATAAACTACCAGGGGAAATTAATATTTTTCCAGATAACCACGTTAATTGCAGCTACAAAATTTGCATATATTCGCAAAAGTTTACTTGTATACCCGTGTACTTTATCCAATATAAAAGATTCGCGACGCGAAATGACAATTGCGTTTCAAATGCAAAATCGAATTTATTTCGAGATCGCGTTGTACGCAATAAATAAATACAATTGTTTTAACTATTCCAATTAGTCTCCAACAGAGATCGATAGAGGATCACGAGGACTTTGGGACGAGCAATTCAAGTATAATGCGACGCGGAAGGAGCGGTTGATTCGCTTCGTCGACACGCCAGAGGACGTCGATCCTCTTCGCTAGTCTAGAATCGTGAGGACCCGGGTTTGAGGGTCCTAGAGTTAGGCAATCAGCGTTGATGAGGGGGTCAGGTCGAGGGACGAAGGGCTCGGACAATTAGTAAGTACCCCGCCCACTCTCTCTCCTGTGTGTCGCTCTCGCCCCGGTTCACCTGCCCAACAACGCACCGACCGCAGGCGCTACGCATGCGAAAGAGGCTGCTGGACGCGGGGTTGGGACGCTTCGTTTACGTACGTAGATCGCGTTGTACGCACTGGATTACGCGCTCGTAAAGGTCTCTTCACGGTTGCGGAGGCAGTGTCAACGCGATCGCTCGAGGCAAATCGAGGCGCGCACCCGGTCCTGTGTATCATCCATTCACGCCCATGTGTTATCGATTTCTATTTCGAAAAACCAAACGAGTCGGTGGTTATCTTTCACGAAAATCTGCAATATTTATATTACAGAAAATAATACATTTAGACATTAGTATCGCAGTACTCCGACAGATCTTTTCGAAGATGCAGTTGCGGAGCAGCGCAACGTAGCGATACGATGAAATCAAAATTAACTACGAAAGACCTGCCGCACGATTATTCAAAGGATCCTCGCTGATTCTCTCTCTTGTTGACCATTTACTAATTGTTCTTACGATGAAACGTGTCGAGGATTACGCGGCGTTTGACAAAAGTCCGGAGAGAAATGCACGGCGGGAAATCGTGGAAATAATAAGCTTCTCTCGAGAGGGATTCGCAACAACGGTGAAGACGAGTCTCTTCCTTCCTCCCTCGACGAAACACAGAAACGTCATCATCTTGGAGAGACGACCCCCGTTCTTCGAACTTAACGTCTTTTGCTCGCGGCCGCTCGAGGGCGAAGGTAAAAGCGAAAACGCGGCGTTGCGCGATCTTAGGAAAAACGTTTAACGAGCTGTTTTGCATCGCAATGCCCCGACCTCGTTATCGGTTATCGACCCGCTCGCGGCTGCTGTCGCGGATTAAAGAGTACCTGCCCCACAGGCACGTGTACGTCACGTAGTGCGTTCACGCACACGTTTGTTTCGTCGAGGCGCTGTTTGATCGTCGATTGGCATAGCGAGAGCCGTTGAAAAGGCGAATTGTTTCGCGGAAACCACCGATTTTCAGGCCGTGTTCGCCGCTAAATCGGCGTGGCGCGCCGCGCCGTCGTTTCGCGGAACGTGAATCGATCTTTCCACATTTGTTTCCGAGAGGAAACTTGTTTTTTTCGCTCGTAGAACAGGCCCGCCGCGCTTTTGTTCCTTTGCGTGTTGAAATTTTTTACTCGCCCGACCATCCATGCAATCAAAAATTCTTTTTCTTCCATGTTTTTTCATTAGCAATATCGCCAAACTGCGAGTACTGAGCAGACCTTGGATTAAATCGATCTTAGAAAAGCGATAAATCGAAAAGTTCGCCCCCGCCCTATACAAACGCATCAAACATTTTTCAAGTCGTATCCTAATATTTCCCAGAGCACATTGTATTTCAAAATCATTTGATATTGATATACAGGGTGGTCCGTTTTAATCGACAATCGGAAATATTTCGTCAAGTAAGCCAGATCGAGAAAAATGTTTCAGATAAAAGTTGTATGGTCCTGAGGGGGGCATAAGGTGGTGCAATTGGTTCGACCTTGGATAATCATTTGAAGGTCATGTAAAGATGACCTTAAATTTTTTTAATGGAACCCCCTATTATATATTGTGCTATCTTATTCTACTAATTGATATGAACAACTTTTGTCTGAAACATTTTTTTATTTGCCTAATACTTTTTGAGATATTCAAGAGAAAATTTATAACTTTTTCAAC